CAATCCTTCTGCCTCGTCACCTACTACCGACGCGACAGACGATAAGAGAGAGGTATTGAAGGTTGCAGAGAGCCCGATTGGGGAAGGGAAAATCGTCCCATTGTCAGTGAAACCATGAAGACCTGTCATCCGATATAAGAATTGTATAATACAGATGAATTGACGTACCTTCACTCTGAAATAAGGCTGGAATGCCTAATGTCGTGTTTTCCATCATGTATCGCTGCCCAGTTTCAATGGCAAACGCTAGCTTGTCCCACGGCGTCGCATAGCCAGCCCAGATGGAGCCCCCTTTCAGGCGCACCGTTTCTTCCTACATGGATCAATGAATCGAAATTACAAGACGCACCAAGAGCAACATTACCAGTGCGGTTTGGTTGAAAGTTTTTGTGTCATCAAGTGGGTCGGACAGGTTCATCCAACCGCCAGCAGAAATCCCAATGTCCCCTTGGATGCTGGAGAATATTTCAGAACACATAATTCGAGAGGAAAATGGCCTTACATCTGAGCGACTTTTTCATCCAAGGTCATTCGAGGCAACAAATCGTTGATTCTGTCCTCGATAGCAGCATTGGGATTCTTGTAAGTGGGAATTGAACCGTCGATATTCGTGGCACGAGAAGCCAGCGAGAAAACTCGCGACTCAAGGCTCGCGGTTACCATATAAGCATGGCTGACGAGGAGCGCAATAGACAAAATCATCGCGATTGGTGGTCGAAGTCGGGTCCATGTCGCATGTTCTTTTATAGATTTTGGAGGACACAAAAATGGTGCTGTAGAGCCAGCGGACCATGGGCTTGTGGGTCTTCGTAGCGAGCAGCTGACTCAATCGAAGCGGGCCGTTGAGTGACAATCGAGCAGAGCCCGATATTCTTCCGTTCACCACGAAGAAAACGCGGATACCGGAGCCGAGGAGAAAGCATGTGGTCGCGAAATGCTAAATCTGTGAATTGATTATTGGTGGTACTTACATCTTCGAAATTATTCTGTCTAGAATTCTATCATGACGCGTCCTTTGACGCGAAACTGTCCTCTTGAACCTATCTTTTGACTTCAGCCTGGAATGGTCTGACAATGACATGCAATGACATGTTACTCACCGAAAATGAAAACCACACGCTCATCGAACAGCGCTCTTGGCCAAGCTATCGGCGAGCTGGTTGTATTGCCTTGGAATCTGCCAAAAGAACACGTCAACAAATTTCTGGTGTTCCTCCCGTGCATCCTCGAGCTTTCTGAAAAGATTCCCGTTTGGTAATGCAAGGACCGTCAGAGTAGGAGAAAAGCCTGAGGTGGCATAAAATCAAGATACAACCTATACTGGGATTCCAGGGAACCAAATGAAAAGAAGAAAGAAGGAACGAGAGCAAGTACTTACTGGTAAATTTGCCAAAGGCTTTCTGCGACGGCGGACGTCACCTGACCGACAACTTCACCCCGTCCGACATTTCAACCGACATGGTTAATGATGAGCGCCACGGCGGATTGAGGAACTGCTTCCAGCGCGATAAGGCTTTGCAGCGAGCCTAAGGATAGTCACTGTGACTGCTAGTGTCACGACATCACTCCTTCTTCCTCCACCCAATGCCATGTCGACTTGGGAACAGAACGTCTATACGCACTTATGGGGAGGGCATCTCCAACTGAAGTTGAAGGCATTGAGGTATTCAACCCATGTCTTAACCAACCTGGGGACGAAGATCTACTGAGATGCCCTATATATGTTCGTGACGAGTTCAGGACATGTTGGGACCATATTCAACGAGATATGGAAGACCAGCAAACCGACGGTTTGATGGTCTGGAGCCAGTCCGGAATGGGTGCGGAAATCCTTGCATTTTCAACTACCTCTTTAATTTTGCCTAGGCAACTCCCTGTTCCTTTGACAAAAGCTCTGGAACACAAGATCCCTGTCGCATTTTGCGACTCAAGCTCCACTTTCCGCTACTTTGACGAACGTGGCCCGCACCATATCACATTCGCTGATGCTGAGACTTTCGACTTTCCCAAACGACACAATTCTCGCATTATTTGACACTGCTTTCTACCTGAAATCACCTCTCCCACCTTTCAGTAACGGTGCTGTCAAGGCTTTTGTCGTGCAAATGACATCACTTGTTCCCTTTGAACATCAAGGACGGATGACAGGACGCCGCATTCTACATTCAAGGTTCCTGACATCATGGATGTTGCATGAAATTGCCATCCTACAGTAAACATGGTTTCTCATTTTTCCTGGCAGTTTTCGTTGACGATGTATCATACATAGGAAACTTCTCCCAGCGCCCGAAAACAATCATTATACCGCCACCGAGATATGTGAATATCTTGGCCCGAATCCTAAAATCTGCTCCGACATCATCCCTAAAACAGACGATCCCATTTCCGATTTCGAGGACTTCCTAATCCCTGTCCCTGTCCATCCCAAGACCCTCGACCAACTTCTTGTGCAATGTTCCAACGATCCAGCGTATTGGTATGATGCCCAATGGTTTCATACTTATTTCTATGCGCATCGACGACCGTCCGTGACACGACCGCTTCTCGACCTGTCAGTCATGTTTAGTTATTATATCCCAACCGACTTTCTTTGGGAGAGAATTTTGAAACAGTTGCCCAATGCAGACACCACTTGGCGCCTTGCAATATCATCATATTTACAGCCCAATATTGTGACAGCCCTCTAGCTAACCGAAACAAATACTATGGAAACAAGGAAGCAAAGTGGAAGCAAAGTCTCAACTTCTTTCAAACCTTCATGCAGGACTCCCTCGAACGGCAGTAGTCGATGAAAACTGGTGGGAGCAATGGAAGTCGGAAACGAATCGGCATTATTCCCTGGGTTCTGTACGATTTTTTTTGTCGAAGAATGAAGGTCGAGTGACGCCTGGAACAATGTTAATGCAGAAATTTTCGGGAAAGAAGAAGACTCACCGAGTCTCTTGGATTCAGTGTACTATCTACGAAGTCCTTGAGCAGCTCCACGTCTGGCCAAGCTGTCGGCAAGCTGATTGTACTCTCTTCCAATGTGCAAGAATTCAATCTTTGCATTGTTCTGCTGCTCGTAGTCGGAAATTGCGGCCTCGAGCTTTTGGAACAGATCCAGATTATCGGGGATTTTGCCTTTAGCAGTACGCCATTTCTTAGCCTGGACGAGTTGAGCATGTAGTTATACGAGGAAAAACAGACAGACCCTCCAGGCGTGAATCCAATCGGTAATGCCGTTCACGACATAGGCAGAATCTGTAGCGACAGTCCAATTCTCGGTGCGCTGAATGGGATCATTGGGATTGAGTACAAATCGGCGGTTGGAATGAATATGGTGAGCTTGGTCGGCAAGGCTCTTTAAACCGTGCAAAGCAGCTAGCAGTTCTGCCCTTTGGTTGGTCCGTGGGCCTTGATCAATGGAATCATCTACGGACGCCATCCATTGCATGTCAGGACTGTCTCCGATAGCCCAACCTATTCCCGACGTTGCTCCTGCCTGACCGTTTCCGCTACAAGCACCGTCAGTGTAGACGACTTGGAGTTTGTGACATTGGTGGTGGGAGCAATGCAAGGAAGTCAAGTAGAATCGACGGCAGCTGCAAGTGAAGGATACCTCGTCATGGCGAAGATGCTGATGATCTGCACAGAGCGTCCTCCGTTCGGCTGGCATCGTGGGGGTTCGTTTCAGAGAGTGAAAGTACTCAAAATGACTGGTTAAAAGCAGCAGTGACTCGAGTCACACAATCGGTAGATCGTTCGTCGGAACCGCACCGAGCAGGTTCTTGGAGAGCAAACTGGAAGTACGTCTCTCTCTGAGGCTGAGACTCTCGTTCCAGCTTGAATGACGCTAAGACCTATGTGATAGCGGTAGCGAAGACGGCCTACTTGACCAAAGAGGAAGATGAAAAGCCTTTTCATACGAAAATGGACGAATTATCTACATGATCCCCCAAGACTCACGAATTCCGTACAGAGTCCAGATTCAGTGAGAAGACGCGTTACACTGTTCATCGCTTACTAACATATGTAGATAGATAAGTACTAGACGGTCGTGCAATATCATTGATCCATCGGGGCCCCATCGACTCGACTAGCGCTACAGCACTGGAAATTCCAGCCTTCAACTTTTCTTCGTCTTTTCTTCGGCAGGATGGCAAATGCGCCATGTTGACAAAGCAGTTATTCTTCCCCGACCAAGTTCCTTATGTTTTGTTTAGTCCTTGGGGAGTCTATGGCCTCCGTTATCCGACATCTGGCTCGACTGCCATGTAGGTGTCTGGCCTGAGACCACCTCAGCCCTTAAAATACTGGTCCAGTTTCGATTTCATGTCTCATTATCCTTGAACCTCATCTATCATCATCCCAACCATCACTGACCAACCAAGTCGACTGTATCCTCGCAGTGACCGCGATCCAGACTGGGCAATCTGCCATTCATGTAAGCTTTCACAAGTCCATCGATTTTCTCCTTCGACTCATTTTTGAACTATAGACCGTCTCGAGCATTCGCAAGTTCTCTTGCGCACATCCTTTGGAACTTGGGCAAGGGAACAAGTAAAGAAGAAGCAAGCTGACAGAGATGAACCCAAACGTAGAGAGAGGAGCGATTATGGGACAGATTTAGCCCACAGGAAAGAGGTTATATGGAAGCAATCGGCGTGAGACCTGAACACATTCCGCGTAATGTACGCGGAATGGGCTGCTATGCTAGCTACTAGGTACTTGTACTACTCATGGCATCTTTGGGATCCGTCTTAGATAAAGACTCATCTTCTGTCGCAAGTTTGTATTATAATGTATCAGCGCAGACAACAGTCGAGCAGGTATCAGGACGGCTCCAGTAAGTGTACAATGTTGGGACGAATGAATCAAATTTTCCCAAATAAATTGCGACTTGGGAGATGGTTGAAAACACCTACGACTCAAGATGGAAGTTGCAAGAGCAACGCCAAGTAGATCGGATCGTAAATGTACCGGGCCATCGACAAATCGAAGAACTCACTCTGTGCATCGCCTTCTTGGCTCAGTTGGCTAGAGCGCAGGTCTCATAGAAATATGAGTAACTTCATCAGTTACGGAATCCTGAGGTCGCAAGTTCGAGCCTTGCAGAGGGCAGTTGCTTTTGTTTCTTTGGGGTGCATCTATGTTGTTGATCTTCATTTTTTATCGATGAAAGCATCCACAAAGCCTACGCCACAGTTCCTTGAACAGCTGCTCTACGATCACAGATGTGTATGGTCTAGATCCTCGTCAATCAACCAACCAAGCTTAGACGGTCCCAGGATAACATTGGATGGGCGAATATATCTCATCGTTCGATAAGCACACAATTGTAGAGTCCATTCAGTACACAAATACATCTGATTGTTCTTTTTATCCTGCTTGTCCATTACATGAACTTGGAAGCCTGTCGAAGAAGCTTGTTTAGTCTCAAACAAGATAAGAAACTCGATAAACCTACCAAACTCATCATTGAACCCATTCCGCCCGAGTCGCCTCCACCAGTCATAGCGCTGAATTTGCTCTGGACGAGCAACTTCATGACGGTCATTCCAGCGCTGTTCACAGCGTCTGCCAATAGTCAATGATGGCCACAGGATGCAAATGATCATCACGAACCCTGTTTGTTTCCACCGCCAGCACCACCGCTCTGTTCGAACATTTTGCTTGCCTCAGCCATTGCCATGCTGATGAGCTGACTCTGCGAGCCTCCACCGCCACTACCACCAGATGTGAATTGTTTGAGTATCTGTAGAACAATTAGACCTGATATGGATGAACGGCAAAGCTCATTAGTTACCTGTAATGCTGCGGCACCACCTATACCATCAGCACTGACATTGCCTGCATTACCCTCATGGTAGACCTGTTTATGTGCCCGTTGAACCTATTATCGCAGGTCAGTATCCACGATAACGAAGAAAAAGCGCTTTTCCGACCTCCTCTTCGTCAACCGGTTCATTGTGTTGAGACTGAGAGATGAAGGATCAGATTTGCTTGAATTCCATCCAGGATCGAATCATACCTTGTTGTTGTTCAAGAATCCCATTGCGCTCGAGAACAATGAGCTATCGCCAGAGCCATGCTGCGTAGCGTGCTGTACGACTTCGTCTTCGTTGACTGGAACGAAAATCAGATCCTAGACTTGGACACAAAAGCAAAGAGAATTCACTGGAAGGTCCGTCACCGTGGCTCGGTTGGGTATTATATTCCTGACCACCTGTCTTTGACACGTTCGCTGTAAAACGATTCAGCATAGAGACAGACGCCTTGGGAGCAAATTCGGTTCACATTGCGACTCGCTGTATGCTTCGTAGCCCTTTTTCGCCAAGTTCATAAAGTTGTCCTATAAAAAGCCAATTAGAGAGTGGAATTGCTTGGACGGCCAACTTGCCATGATGGTTTGTGATGGTTGAATGCAGAAGGAGACGGATGGCGGCGATAACGACCAGCTAGGGTATTTATAGAGCTTGGTGGTTGATGAGTCTGACGTACTGAAGCTTGACGTCATCGCAATGACGTTCTGTGGACCTCATTTTCTTTTGTGACGGATTTGGCTGAAAATACTCGGGTATTCCTATGCTACAATAGTGGTACAAGAATTGATGACTAGTTTTTATACTAACAATAATGGTAGTGGTCTGATTTGCACAAGGGCTCTTTAGAAGGCAGCAGGCTGAGCAGGCGCCATAGGCATATGCTGTTCACGACGAGCTTCGACACCAACTGGAGTCGAGCCCAAAGGTTCTGTCGAGCTCAGTGGTGCTGCAGAAGTCGGAGCCGTCGTGGAAGTAGTGGAATTTGGAGAGATATAGTTTCTCGCGGTCTCGACGTGAGGAGCGGCGAAAGCTTTGGCCGACTCGACATGAGGAGCCGCAGCTTCCTGAGCTTTCGTCAAATGGGGCTGGACGGCTTCTTGGGCTTTGGTGAGATGAGGCTGAACAGCTTCTTGAGCTTTAGTGAGATGAGGCTGGACGGCTTCCTGAGCGGCGGCGAGATGAGGAGCGGCGTATGCTTTGGCAGAATCGATGTGAGGTTGAGCAGCAGCCATACCTGTGGCTACAGCTGACCGCACTTGCTCAGCTGCGGCCGAGGCCACAGCCAAAGGATCTGTTCTCGTCGTGCCGGTAGACGTGGTCGAAGGCAATGTTGTTACAGGATCTGTTCGCCCAGTGGTTCCAGCAACAGGCTCGCCTGAGACGTAGTCTTTGGCCTTCTGGACGCTTGGGGCAACGTATGACTGTTGAAAAAGGTAAGATGGATCGATATCAGAAGGTAAAACAAACACCAACCTGGACGCCTTCGACGACAGCTCCAACGATGCCTTTGGCCTGTTCAAGATATGTCTGGGTATCGTTTTGGCCTTGAGCGACTGCCTCATTTGTCTTCTCCTGTAGCTGCTCAACCATCTCTTCACCCTTCTCCTTCACAGTGGTTGGACTCGACGATATTTCAGCGCCCTTGGAATGAACAGTGGCAACTTCGGCAGCTTCCTTGGCCACTGCTTTTTCCTGCTCGGCGATGTTCTCGATAACACGGGCTTCGGCAGCAGTGGGAGCATGTGCCAAAGCTTCAGCAGCGGTGGTCTGGTGAGCCACGAGACTAGGCAGAAGAATGAATAAATTGGATAACGGCGAAAGCAGAAACGACGTACTCGGCACCTTCAGCTTCTTGCAGGTTGAAGACTTTTCCGGTCTGAGTGGTACTAGATGTCATGATGATTATAGAGGTTTGTTAAAGAGGTAGATCTTTGAATGGGTTCGACTGAGTTGACGCCTTTTATATGCTCGAGTGGGTGGTTCATGACATCACCAAGGGGGCGATGACGCAGTCCCGCTCCCCGCTGCTCATCGAATTCATTTTGCAAGACAGCTCCGATCGGCTCCTCGAGAAGGCCGGAATGGGCCGCCAGTGACGAGTCAGCTTCGTATCTGCCGCCATACGACGAGATCTGGGCATCGAGTTGAGAAGATGAAAGAGATTCTAAGCCGAAATTCAGTAAGTATATCGAGGAGAACCAAGGAATAACGATGAGCAGCCTGGAGGGCTTCTCTGACTGCATCGACGCTATATGAGCTGTAGTTTCACGGCTTTTGCGATTTTCGCTAACGGGCAATCGGAAACATGACTGAGAAGTTCTTCAGCAAATGAAACAGTGGAAAGAATCGATGACATACACGCAAGGCAGAGATTCTGCGACCGGCACAGTACGGTACTACGAAGTCCCGCTGAACGTTCGCTAAAGAACGAGCAAGCGAAGATTTTTGAAGCACCGAATTTTTGGCGAATTTAGCCGATAATGAGATAACCTGGCCGACTTTTTTGCTAGTTTAATCGTCCAGTAAGCTTCAAGGTTAATCTAGATACTGCACAGGCAGACCGCATCAGACGCGCTTGGAAGACCAGTATCATTGACCAGCAGGTCTTCGAGAACATGGTCGCATGTCGAGTTGCGCCGGTTGTCGTCGTCCTGGCTGTACGTATTGGTTGAAGGCCGCGAGAGTCTCCTTCAGTGCTGAAACGGTGAACATGAACTTGAGAGGGAAAAAAAAGGCTGCTGAAGGTCACATTGTGACTCTCGGCCGTATCGCATGTTGGCGAGCGTGTTCTGAGGTCCATCGAACGATGTAGGTCTCTTTCTTTACTTCTAAACAACATGCCTGGATTAACATTAAACTTTGCAGTTGTATCGCGCGTTTAAGGGGAGGAAAGGTAGTTTTTCTATGTCCATGTTAAATTCAAAGTTTCATACTTCATACTTGTCCAGAGTCTAGATACATGGCGTTCCTTTCCAAGCTTGAACCATAGTCATAATCCTTTTTGAGGAACCAATGGTACATCTACAACAATACCCTTCGCCTTCCAGGCATTCTCGAATTCAATGATACAATCAACAGTGTCTAGAAATGTTTCTGTAGCGAGGAATCTTAGCAAACAGAACTGCAGTTGCAGGAGAATTTTACCTTCTAGAGTTCTATATTTCTCAATCCCGCATACATCTTTCAACTGCTGCTGGTCGAAATCGAGACGCTGAGCTGCAAGCGGAACCTCAGGCGGAGTGGCCTGGTTCAGTCGTGCAGCCAAAGCGGGTCTTTTCTGCCGAATCAGGTCTAATACATGCTTGAAGTCGAAGGGTTCAATCGAGCCTATCAGGAGACGTTTGGGTGTCGAAGACTGCGAACAGGATTGGAGAAGATCGGGCACGAAGAGATAGACGTACAGGTTTGCCTTCGAGAGCCCCGACGTGTACAGCGGCAACATCACGAACGTCAGCATATTTTGAGATGACTGGGAAGCTGGCGCCTTGTGTCAAGAAGCGGTAAACATATATATTGGTGCTTATCGCTATCAGATTCGGTTCATCACCAGAGGTCTGTCTCAGTGGGAGTCAGTTTTGGGCAATGAGAACAAAGGGAATCGACATGCATCGTACGGAAAAGGTCCGAAGACGAATGGCGCGATAACAGTCGTTATATCGAGTTCAGGATGCTCCCGGCCGTATTGCCACAAAGCCTTTTCGGCCAATGTTTTCGATGCACGATATGCTGCTCTAGTGTCTGGAAGAGATACACGGAATTCAGAATGATCGAAAGGAAAGCGAAGTCGAGAGCTCACCCGTCAATGCTAGGGCTTCTTCCATGGTAATCGGATTCCAGTCTTCGGCGCTCATAGTGCCTCCTGGGCGCATGATGGCGAACATACTTGTGGAGACGATAATCTTATTTATTCCAGCCTTGTGGGCTTGTCGGACAAGGTTCAGGGTAATTTCTATTGCATACTGAACGTGCTTCAGTATATAGGTTTGGCCAGCAAAACCAAAACTCACATTCAGGATCTCCGGAATTGTTGCCGTCCCGGGCATAGGGCTGGCTGCATGGACAATCCCTTCAACACCTGGATTCGAGGGTCAGTCTCAGCCCAAGATGACTACTCCGAGGTCTTGGAAGGTATTGGGCTAAGTCTTTTATCACCACAGCCTCGAATGACGGATCAGGATACCACGACGTGAGTTTCGCAAGAGATGCGGGACGGACAGCACTGTGAGCTTTGATTTGAGTCGACTGACATAGAACGAATAGAGCTCGCTCACGCTCTGACCCGGTATCCCTTTTTTA